CTTATATTCCCGGCCATATGGTAGATCACGGATGTGACACTCCCGTTGAGTCCTTTGTAGTCCACTCCCTGAATATAGGTCAAGTAGGATCTAGTTACGAAGAAAGTCATACTCTGTTCTTAATCTTCCTTAGTAATATCCCTTATGTTTAGATATGAAGTTGATCTTAGCCATGATTATTAAGTGTAATTGCACTAATCATAGTATGCTTTGACTTGTAATTAAGAATGACTTAGGAATTATTTCTCTAATATCTACTTAGTCATGCTAATACCATAGAAAGGAGTACTCAGAGTGATCAATTATCATTTATCATTTACCATTCATATATATTTATCTCTTGACTTGCCCTTGTTGTGAGTAGAGTAATGGTTATGGTTTATCTCTCTATCATAAGTATAAGTTATCAATATATTTCATTTGTCAGTCCTTCCCTGTGGTAAAAAAATAAATAATGATACCTGGAATACTCCTAGATGAAGTGCTATAATGGTATATTATCTATGTGCTTGCATATCCCTATATATATATATATATTCTTTCTAGTCATAATAAAATACTTACGTACTTCTTAGTGTCATTCTAGAGGTGACACTAAAAAGTACCAACAAACATTTCTGACATCATAGCTAGGGATGACAACTTAGCAAAAGTGATGTCAAGAAATGTCAACAAACATTAGGTGGCTACTTAACAAATGACAAGTTAATAAATACCAACAAGCATTTTTGGCGCCATTGCCGGGGACTAGATTCAACTCTGTTCTTAGTAGCGACGCTAAGGAATGTCAATAGATGCTACCATCGTCTTCTTGGAGTAGCGCGATATTCGAAAAAATTCACTAGTCGCTCTACAAAACACCGACACATCGTCATGCTCGATGTCGTCAGCTACGTATTCCTAAACACATCATTAACAGTAGGCACAGGTTCCGTGTTGACACCGGTTTCCTCTTTAGTAACAGCCTCGTGGAGGGCTACGTCAGGCATGGCCACATCATCATTGTTTTCCTGCGGAACATTCCCACCAAACTCCCTATGCATACTCTATATTGTATAGTTTGTTATGAACCCCATGGTAAGCAAGTGCATTCGTATAGACTCAATTCTAGCCCATTTCCTTCGACTCATGCAATCTTTGCATGGGTAGAAGACATGGTTTCCATCCCCAGCATCGGCTTTGCATCAGCGAGAAACTTGCCAACGCCAAGCATGTACCACTTCTCCGTTTAGGACAGATGCAACCACTCTTGATCCATCTTTGCACAAAGAAATATTGAGACTTCATGCCACATAAAATTGGGGAGAGTAATTACAAAGGAAGTAATAATAAGTGGAGCTTCATGAACAACAATTGTAGCTTGAAAGTACAATTTATTCTACACTAATTTAATTTAGTCACCCCATTTTGGAAAAAAAATATTCTACACTAATTATTGAAAGTTGAAATTGGTAGCCCCATATAAATTGAAAATCATAGCCCCATAAACAAACAATTATTGTACAATAATCAAGAACAATTATTCTAATCCATGCCATACAAAAATGGAGACATTAATTTAAAAAAAACTAAAATTAGAGACTTAATCATGAACAACAATGTAGCTCCAAACAATGTTTTGATTGGTGACACATGGATTAATTTGCTCATCAAAATTGTAAAAGAATCTACTCTAATCCTTACAAGAACTAATTATAGCATCACATACTAAGAATCATTTTGACCACAATGTAATTAGCTAGGAATTTAAATAGGTTCATAGACACCAACCTTTTAGATGATGGATTCACCACAATTTCCTTGGAAAGTGCTCTCTAAAATGGAGAAACAACTAGAATGAAAATGGAGCAATGTAGCCATCAAAACACCGGTAAAGCAATAAAATCAAAGGAGCGTATGCTTGTTACTAACCTTAAAGCAAAAAGATCAAGCCTATTCTTCAAAATCTAAGAGCTTCATGGTGAAGAGCAGCCACAACAATAGAGAGAGGGGAGAAAACGCACGCCTCTGTGCTCGGGATGGGAGAGAGGAGCCGAGGAGGGAGGAGAGGACGGCGGCAGCTTTTTGTACTGTCAGTTTATCACCGTCGATTCTTGGCTAGAAGCGAAAGTGATAGCACCACATCACTGTCGGTTCTTGGCTAGAACTGGCAGTGATGTGACCGTCCACTCACTGTCGGTTCTAGCCACAAATCGGCAGTGATATGAACTTTCACTGTCGGTTTTCGCTGAACCCCAACTATTTTCTCATTTTCAAGCTCAGAACCGACAGTGAAGGTTTATCACCACCGGTTCACCAAAATCCAGCACTGATGTTGCCACAAATCGTATATGTTGGTATTGCTTGAGCGACTGACTTCAGCAACACCTCCCTTCCTGCACATCTCGCTTCCCAGCCGCACCAGCCTTATATCCTACCTTTCACTTCGGTCGGTAGATATTCAAAGGCTCCAATAATATCTAGGCCCACCTCCCTAGGAAGACCGAGGTATTTTTATGCGAGAGCCTCTTTGTGAATTTGTAGACCATTACAAACCAATTCCTTCATATCCTGGCTGCAATTACCACTGAAAAAGATAGCCGACTTGTCCCGATTGATCATTTGACCAGAACGTCGGCCATAAATGCTGAGAATTTCCATCAGTCTATTGGCCCCTCCATGCGTCGCTTTTGAAAAAACAATGCAGTCATCCACAAAGAGAAGATGCAAGACCCAGGGAGAGTGTCACTACTACAAAATGTTTATCTGCAGCGGCCGTTTTTGGTTTCCCGCGGCGGGCAAACCGGTCCGCCGCTGCCGGGAAGTCACGGTAAATCATGGCCTTCCTACGGCGGGCTGCTTTGCCCGCTGCGGTTAATTGATTTACCGCGGCGGGCACCTAAGGAAGCCCGCCACAGTAAATCATTTGGAAAAAACAAAAAAAAAAGAAGAAAAGCCCACACGGGCTTGGATATGGGCCGCACTGGACCTAGATCTCGCCGTCGATGTCGATCCGCCGCCGTCACCTGGATCCGCCACAGCTCTAGCCCCGTCGCGCCACCGTCAGATCCACCGTCGGCGCCTCCGCCCGGACCGCCCCCGCCTGGATCCGCCCGATGTAGAAGAGGAAGGAGGCGCTCGCGGCAGATCAGGCCTCCCAGGCCACGCCACCGCTGGATCCACCGCCGGGGCCTCCACCGGGGCCACCCCCGCCTGGATCTGCCCGCCGGCACCTGGATCTGCCCGGTGGAGAAGGGGAAGGAGGAGCTTGTGGCGGATCTGGCCTCCCCGACCGCGCCACCGCTGGATCCGCCGCCGAAACCTCCGGCAGGGCCGCCGTCGCCTAGATCTGCCCAGCGAAGAAGGGGAAGGAGGGGCTCGTGGCGGATCCAGCCTCCTCGGCCGCGCCACCGCCGGATCCACTGCCGGGGCCTCCGCCAGGGCCGCCGTCGCCTGGATCTGCCTGGTGGAGAAGGGCAAGGAGGGGCTCGCGGCAGATCCCGCCTCCCCGACCGCGCCATTGCCGGATCCAGCCTCCCTGGCCGCGCCACCGCCGGATCCGCCGCTGAGACCTCCGGCAGGGCCGCTGTCGCCTGGATCTGCCCAGCGGAGAAGGGGAAGGAGGGGCTCGCGACGGATCCGGCCGCGCCACCGTCGGATCTGCCGCCGGGGCCTCCGCCAGGGCCGCCGTCGCCTGGATCTGCCTGGTGGAGAAGGGGAAGGAGGGGCTCACGGCAGATCCGGCCTCCCCGACCGCGCCACCGCCGTACCCGCGGCCGTCCACGCCTGGATCCGCGGCCGGCGCCCTCGATCCACGCCTGGATCCGCGTCCGTCCACACTGGCGCCCTCGCCTGGATCCGCGGCCGCGATGCCGCGCCACCGCGTGCCTCGAGCCGCCGTCCACCGCCTGTTGAGGGAGGAGGAGAGGGAGGAGGAGGGCCGCCGGTTGAGGGAGGACGAGGAGGAGAGGAAGGGAGGAAGAGGTATGCCGTGCCTCATGCGAGAGGACCGAGAGGAGTGGTGGCTACCGCCGGTTGAGCGAGGAGATGATCGGAGGAGAGGGAGAGAGTGGCTGCCGGTTGAGGGAGGAGTGGTGGAGAGAGAGAGAGAGGTGGAGTGAAAACCCTAAAACCCCCGTATATATAAGCCCGATAAATCAGAATTGGATACGGGCCTCGCTGGTGTGTCTATTGGGCCGTGGCCTTTTCCGTGGCGGGCCTTATAATGTGTCCGCCACGGAAAATCGATTTACCGTGGCGGGCACCTTAAGACGGCCGCCACAGTTAATAGGGTATTTTCTGTGGCGGGCATCTTAATATGCCCGCCACGGTAAATCGTTTTACCGTGGCGGGCAAAAATGCCCGCTGCAGAAAATAAAAAGTGCCCGCCGTGGTAAATCGTGGGATTTACCGTGACAGACAAAAATAGGAGCCCGCCACAGAGACCTTCGGGACGACGCTGCGCAAATTGAATTTTGTAGTAGTGTGTATTCCAACTCGAATACCCTGGAGAGATGCATTGGACCAATTGAATTCAGGAGACAAGATAAACCCCCTAAGCAAAGAAGGAAGAGATAAGGGGATATGGGGTTCCTTTGTCTGAACACCTCAGTCAGCTCGCCATTCACCTTGATAGAAAAAGATACTGAGGTCACACACTGCATAACTAAATCACCCCTCCCTATCTCTTGCTAACATGAATGGGCCTTTGAGATTTTCTTTGGAATTTTAAGAATTTCTGTTGGGCCAGGCTTATTTAATCCAACAGTTCCCAGCCGTACCTACAAATCTAATTACTAGAAACGGCTGGAAACCGCGGAACAGCTGGGACCATAAAAATCTGTAGTAGACAGAGCAGAGCAACAAACAACATTAGATTAATTAATTCATTGACCGGCAAAGAACATATATATACAATAAACGACACATTGGATCCATATATCATCGTTTCATATGGATCTTATTTTGTTATTAGTACGTACACACACATACTAATAGCTGCAGTAAACCAACCAACAACCTCAAGCCCAGCCCTGGACGACGCCGCTGTAGCCGGTCTTCTTGTCCGAGTACCTGTCCCACACCATGACGCCACCATAGTTGGGCGCCTTCTGAACCTTGGGCAGCAGGTCATAGTAGAGATACTTGAGGTAGACCGCGATGGTGCCCTGCGCCCCTTCCGGCACACCACTCTCTGCCGCGGCGAGGCCGAGGTACACCTCCGTCTTGGGGTACCTCGCCGTCCACTTGTCCCACTCCTCCACGATGCCCCAGGTGCCGCCGTTCTTGTAGGAGCACTTGTCATCGCCGTAGAACCTGACGTGGATGCGCTCGAACAGCCCCGTCTGCAGCGCCCGGTCGACGCGCCAGTCAGGGCACCCGCACCGCGGCGACGCCGTGAGCCGCACCCCCTTCCGGCCCCGGTAGAACCGGTTGTACCCGTCGAGGCGGCGGGCCAGCTCGTCGTAGTGGTCCGGCGCGCCGTTGTCGATGTAGAAGTCGATGCCGTCCACGGCGGCGTCGCCGAACAGGCGGTACACGCCGCTGCGCCGCCCGCCGAGGTGCGCGTTCCACAGGTTGTCGGCGACCTCCGCCGCGGACTGTGAGGACGGGAGCGAGTAGTCATGGCCGCCGCCGCCAATGGAGAGGAGCACGAGGATGCCCTTGGACTGGCAGTGCTTGATGTCGGCGCCGACGGCTCTCAGCTGGTGGCCCGACAGGTCGCCCCAGTAGCGCCCGTGGCCGAACACGCTGTAGAAGGAGATGATGACGGTGGTGTAGAGTCCCGTGTCGCAGGCCTCCCGCAGGGTTCCCTCGTCCTTGTTCCGGCCCCAGAAGACGGTCACCTGGTTCGTCTGCTTCGCCGTGGCCGGGCCGGCGAGGCAGGAGAGGAGCACGAATGCGAGGGCGAGGAGCGCCCCTAGGCACGAACGGCGTCTGGACGCCATGTTGCCAGCTAGCTGGCTAGCTATTGTCCTGTATGATGGAGCTTGCTTGCTTGCAGTGAGAAGAGGTTTTCGATGGATGTTGTGAAGGTTGGAAGTGGGAGGTTGTATATATACAGAAAACAGGCCCATAATAGATTGCACCATTGGTAGCAGAGGGGTTTACACTTTACAGCTGGAGCAGGTAAGGCAGCTAGTCGTTTCCTGTGTACCGTGGATGGGATTCGGAAACACAAGGGGTGGCCGTAGCCCGACTTTTATTACACATGGGTTGACTTTTATTTTATTATATATGCATGACAGCTAGGCAGCCAGAACACGTGTCCAGCGTCGTTAGCCGCGTAAACCTTGTAAATAATAGAATATATAAGATGCCGCGACGATCATCCCTGCAACGCGCCCCAGCTAGCTGCTGTTCTTTACTGCTACTAGCTACTTTCCACTCCCCGCCCCCCTTGTTTTTCTCCTTTCCAGTCGTGGGTTTTAGACATCCTCATCAGCGATCACCGCATTTTTATACCGCGGCTGAATGGAGACGGAATAATAACAACGGCTAGCTAGGACGCTTTTCTTTTACCTCACGGTTGTCTCAGCTTCATGATCTTGTATGCCATGATGCTGCCTCCCACGCGCCACAGTCGCACGCACTCTCCTCTGCCTGCGCCACCTCCTTGCTGCCGCCACCCACTATTCTTATGGGGATGTTTGGTTCCCAGCCTACAGCTGCCATGTCTAACCTTAAGTCTGCCACGCTAACTTTGGTAGCCGTTTGGTTCGTGATACTGCTGTGGCACGCCATCGCCACGGAACCATGCCGCCGCGGATTTTCGCCGCAAAAGTGTGGCGGGCGTTTTTGTCGCCGCGAAGCCCTTGGCGCGCCAAAGCCAATTCCCATCGAATAAAAAAACACCCACCGTTCTCCTATGTCCACTCCCTCGCCTTCCTCCGTGAAACAGCCGGCGGCCACTCCCATCCAACCTCCGACCCGCACCAAGGCGGCGGAGCTGCCGCGCCCAGGGGGCCGCGCGCTACGCTCCAAGGGGTCGCTCCGCCGCGCGCCTAGGGCAGGCCGCCGCGCGCCCAATGGCGGCCGCCGCACCCATCTCGCCTCTCTGCTGCCTTCTTCCCCCTCGTGTTGTCGTTCTCAGTGAGCACGGTCAGTCTCTCCTTCCACACAGGTGATGTCCACCTTCTCATCTTCTCACGCCTTAGTCGTATTGCTTTTCCCCTTCCCGTCGCCGTGTCTGTTGACCTCTAGTTTTCCTCTATGTGTGCAGATCTGGAACAAAACAGTGAACCGGTGAAGGTCCATCCATCTCATGAAGGTCCATCCATCCCGTGGTGTTGGGTCATCATGCGGCAATCAATCCATACAGCTAAAGAAGATCCAAGCATGGCAACCTCCTGCAGCCGAACAAGGTATAAATCCATTTTCCCCCTTTGCCATTGATTTTCTGATGGAGAAATAAATTCATGCTAAGATCCGGTGAATCCATCTACTGTCTTGCTAATTAGGTTTCCTTTGTTTAATATATATGGGGAAGTGTAGCACCGGTTTTAAGAACAAAACAGAGATCGCACCATATGTGAACCCGAGAAAGCCAGATCTCACATATAGCTACAAATAAGGGTAATATCAATAGACAATGCTTAAATATATATCGTATTAGTATAAAGAATATAACCTCGGAGTATAGGCAGCGGAAAGACAACTCTCGATCTTGATGAAGACTCCAAATCCTGAGGGACAATGGTTGGTTGATCACAAGCATAATTCCTCCAAACTCTAACACTCTGGTACCTATCAAGGATTTTTATCCAAAGATTTAAAAAATAAAGCAAGCGTAAAGTACTTGTCGTACTCAACAAATATAACATAGGGTTCATGAGGCTCAAAAGGCTAACACTTTGGTTTAACTACGATTAGCTTTTAATGAGTCATAATTTTAAGCGGTTGAGTAGCATCAAACTTATCATAAGCCCGTATAAACACATGATCAGGTAAGCATGAATAATAAATAGCATAAACAATTAACCATTAGTGAGTATCTTCATCATCCACATCATTAGTGTTCATCATCTATTCCGTAAGGGTTCCAAGGCCGCTCGTGATCGTGAGCACGGTGATATATCGCTTTTACACTTCACAGAGGTTGTACACTTTCACCATGAGTCGTGTTACCCATATGCGGGTTTGCAACTCCCAAAACACTTTCAAGGTGAGCGGGTAGGGTACACTCTGAAGCTTTTCCCCAGTCATTCTAATAAGGAGCAGCCGCTAAGGATTCCATCTCCCAAGTGTTATGGAGTCATCTCCAGAAGTGACACTTATACACGCAACATAGTACACACCCTGGGGATGAGGCCCATACCCAGCCTGGTATGCCCCTCTTGCACTTTCGGTAAACTGCTACAAACTAGAAAGAGCAAGGTACTAGACTAAGACCAAAGCCATGTAGCCCTCATAGTTGTACTGTAAGTCGCGGATGATCACTTATAGATAAGTCCTTAGGGAGAGGAATCTAGCGCACCATAAAAACAGCCCAATGCTCTAGCCCCCTTGTTCCATGTTGCTAAAAAGCATCTTTTAGTGTTTATCGCATATACCATTAGTCAAGTTACAAGATCATGGTTGTAGTTGAGCACTAGCATCATACTACCCAATGCAATACCCCATAGGTATCAAGGCACAAGGTACAAAGTACTAGGACATCCTTAGTGGTAGTCAAGATAGACACATGCAGTATGAATTAAATGATTAAAGATGTATAGGGCAACAAGGATGATCCCATATTATATTTGCCTTAAAACTCATATCCTTCTTCTATTTTACCAACGTACTTCTCACCGACTGGACATGATCATAAAGCACCATACAAGCATCCATGCAATCATACACGAAGCAAACAATAGAACTAAATCAGAACAGTACACCAAACATAATAAATAGCAAGTAAAAAGGTTTTAAAGGTGTTCTAGATGTCGCTACGAACATACAGACATGAAAAGCACGCTAATCGGAACTACGGTTGTAAAAAACGACTACATGGTTTTATATTATAAAAGAAAAGAAGACTATAAGCTTGATTTATGTTCATTAGGAAAAAACTATGTGAGTAGCATTAATTTAGATTAAATAAATCATATTTATACTTAAAAGCGAATTGAAGCTAATCATATTTTATTTATAAATATTTTGATATCATTTATGCCAATTCAACTTTAACACGCAAATACAAACTAACATCACGAGAACATCTAATCAAATTTGATGTGTGTTTAGACTAAACATATTATAATTTAGAAGCATATTTATGTTAGCAACTAGTCATGTTAAAACTTATTTGCAAAAGAGCATTGTATATAATTATGTTGCTTTTATTTATAAAAACTAGTTGCATGCATGTTAATCAAATTAATATTTAACCATATATATAAAAGTCACTAGACATGAAAAACGACAACACTAGCATGTAGATCACATCGATACAAATCTAACATAATTGGAGCGACTCGAAATGGACTTAAAACGAATATGACGATGACATTATGAACTCCGACGGTAATTTTGTAATTACTGGTCTTCATCCTTTGGCCTCCCGTTACAACCACCCACGGCCATGGCAACAAGCAATTTAGCAGGGTGGGTGGGCTCGACTTATTGCACGAATGAGAGGATGGGCGGGCTAGGCAAATGATGGTGGCAACAGCAATGAGAGAAGGAGGAGAAAAATCTAATTTACTACACGAGGATTTTCCAAACTAGGGGTTCCCCTTACGGTAGTTTTGGTGTGCTTTACCCAAGGGATTGATACATATTTATAGGGAGAAAAACTTTCCACATCTACAACAACTAGCAATATGGTACTAATTGATGTTGCACCCTCCACATTTACTAATGGGACTAAATAACCATTAAAGCCCATTAGTAAATAAATGCATGGTCTTTAGGATTTATTAGGATTATTGCACATGGGCTTTGAGTGTTGGAAAAAATGAGAGATTTATTATTTTTTAAATTAATTAATTTTGTGGATAAAATAATTCCAGAAAAATCTAGAATTATTATTTAAGCCGCGACAAATACTCCGAAAGCTCTGAAAATTCGGGAAAAATTCCTAGAGATATTATGGAATATGAGGAACCCAAATAAAGTATTTAGAGCCCATGATAAGATAATTTGGAGCATCTAAAAATTAAATTATGTTCACAGACAAGTAGGAACAAGTTTCAGAAAAAGCTGTAAAAATTCCCGAGAAGTTTGTTGAGATTGATTGATGGACGAGGAACTAAAATGAGTGATTTGCATTACAAAGAAAAGATTTTAGAAAGCTCCCAACGAAAACTTGAGTCGAGAAACAAAGAATTTGATTGTAGAAAAAGATAAAGGCGTGCCAGAGAAGGAAAATCGACCTACTAACGCATTTTAAAGACTTTGCTCACTCTCAACACACAAAGAAGCAACAAGCAAACATCACATCATCCAAAAGCCCATGAAAATTAGAAAACTTTGAAAATTCACATTTTTCCTATAACTAAATTTGCGCTAGCTCAAACTAAACTTGGTAAATTTTATCCAAATATTAAAATAATTCATTTTATTTAGTGTTTTCTATGCACAACCCAAAATAGGAAATTTTGGGGTGTGACCAGAAGTCACAGCTCTTTCTTTCTTTAGTCGAGGCAAGATGAGTTATTGTGCTAGATAATATATGCAGCACCTTGAGACTTGGCATGTGGTGCTAGATGATTCTTTTTTCTTGACAAAATGAGCTCGTGACTTTGATCTTTCAAAGCTATTCCAACTGTACGCTTCACTATTTCTAATTTATTACTAATTTCATCTTTTTTTGAACATATGTTTTAGATGGGTCAAAGAAAATTGTACTTGCAGTATTACTTAGACTACTGCCATTATATGTGGAGGAGAAGATTAATTACCGGTATTTTTGTGTGTCTGGCCATGCATCTGTATAGGATTAAATCAAGAAAAAGAAGAAGGGCCATAACTTATGCTCCGATGATAGATAGAGATGTTGAAAGATTGTCACGTCTAAATCGTTTGTATCATGGTACTGAGGCCCATTGCATAAATGAGCTACGTATGAGGAAAGTTGTTTTCCATAGACTATGTGATGAACTTAGATCACCTGCCTTGCTAGAGGAGACTTTTCATGTCATAATAGAGGAACAAGTTGCCATGTTTATCCATTGTGTTGGGCAACGTTGGTCAAACAGATTAATTGGTTTTGAGTTCATTAGGTCAAGTGAAACTGTTAGTAGGTATTTCCATCATGTCTTAGACGCCCTTTGTACCCTTGCTCATGACCTTATATGCATCAGATCTGTTGACACACATTCAAAGATAACAAGTGCTCCGGACAGATTTCACCCTTACTTTAAGGTACATAAAAATTGCTAATCAGTGTTTCGAATTTACTTTAGGTGTCATACTCATCTATTTTTTTTAAAAAATTATTTTTGTACGGATGCATAGGAGCCTTGGATGGTACACATATACCAGCATGTGTACCTTTCCATACGCAGGATCGGTTTAGGGGTAGAAAATCAATTACCACCCAAACTGTGCTAGCAGCAGTTGATTTAGACCTAAGATTCATATATGTTCTTGCTGGATGGGAGGGCTCAGCCCATGATTCTTATGTGCTTCAAGATGCTCTATCACGTCCTAATCGGCTTAAAATACCAGAAGGTAGGAATACCCCATTATGTCCTAACAATTTGAATCTAAAACTTCACCTATATTCTTAGCTAATTAATCTCTATAAAAAACAATGATGTAGGTAAATATTTTCTAGCTGATATTGGATATGCAGCAAGGCCTAGTGTATTACCCCCTTACCATGGTACTCGATATCAGCTAAAAGAGTATAAGGGGGCCAGGGAGCCTGAGAGCCCCAAGGAATTATTCAATCTTCGCCATTCCTCACTTAGAACAACTGTTGAACGAGCATTTGGTACCCTCAAGAATCGTTTCAAAATCTTCACAAGTCAGCCATTCTTCCCTTTGAAAACACAAGTCAAAATTGTGATGGCTTGTTGTGCACTTCATAATTGGATCTTACAGGACGGTCCTGATGAGTATGTTTATGATGATGCTACTTGGTACACAACCTTGCCTCGAAGTGTAAGAAATCATAGTGATATACACCGGGAAAATGTGGCATGGGCTAATAAAAGAGATGGGGTGGCTCAAAGGATGTGGGAAAATAAAGTAGGAGCAACTGTAGATTAGGTTCAAGAAATTATATAACCAATGCTACTATCTTTGCATATTTCTTCGTGTGCCTTTCTTGTTGATTTGCTTGTATGTATGAAACATACATATATAAGCGCGATGCTTTCTATTATCTTCACTGGTTCATTTGCTTCTATTATCTTGTTGAGTTTGCTTAAATAAAGTATGCTTGTACACAGTTTGCTTAAATAAGTTGTCACTGTCATTTATTTGAGCCTGACTCATTTATTTGTCACAGTCATGCTGTAAATAAATTATATCTATACACAGTTTGCTTAAATATTTTGTACCTGTACACTGAATGATTTTAATTAAATGTCTCTTTATTAGTAGTGCACTTGTAGGCTGCTGTTTGGAAGGGAGTACTAGTACAGTCACTTGTATGATTTTAATTGTCTCTTCTATGTGAAACAGCCATGGCCAAGGGAAAGGCTAAGGCTGATGCTTTTGCATCCTCTCGTGAGAGGTCCGTGGGTCCGTGAACTGGCATGAGGATCAGTCGAAGTACATGCTAGAGTGGTGCATGGAGCATTTGAAAAAACAACATGCAGGATTTAAGTTCAAGAAGGCACATCTCATGTTGTGTGCCAATGATTTAAACAAGAAGTTTGCTATGGGGGTGACTATTGATCAAGTGGACCGTTACTGTAGGCACCATAGAGAAAATTGGAAGTACATTGCAACAGCATTGAGCAATACTGGCAATACATTTGATGAAAAAAGATGCATGGTGAATATTTGAGAATCTAAAAAAGAAAAATTATGTGTAAGTTGTTTGTACTGAATATATTCTATTTTACAATCTAAAATCAATTCCCTTGTTCACATGAATATAAACTGAATTTTACTTTTCACATGAATGCAGTACAGAGCAAGATGCCTGCTTGCGAAGCCCATCAAGTTCTTCAATGAGATGAGAGAACTATTCATAGGATCCAATGATGATGGTTCTTTGGCTCTGGACTAGAACACATGCATGGATGCTGCTAATGGCTTAGATAGTGATGACTCAAGAGAACTATTTGACCTCAATACCTACACACAGCCTGAAGATCTAGAAGGTGAGGATTCAGACACTTTGCCAACTCCAACTAGGCATGCAACGGTTGACAACACATCTTCTAGCACTAGTCAAGCTAGCAAGAAGCGTCCAAGAGCCAAGAACTCACCAACTAAGAAGTCAAAAAAGACCATTTTGCTGATTCCACTGATGAAATTAGTGCTACAATGAAGTCACTTCGGGAAACACTTGTTGCCACTGGCCCTCCCCCAATGCCACAGCTTACTGATCCTCATGCAGCATTATTGCAGAGACTAGAGGCAATCCCAATGACACCAAATGAGAGGGTTCTTCTTCTTGGTGAACATTTGTCTACCAAGGAAATTAAAGGTAGCGTGTGTTTGGTTGTGTAATGCAAGTGCTGATACTCTGCATGCTTGGGTGTTCAAGTTCTTATGTGAGAAGGAAGGCATTAACCTGTGAAGCTTAGCTTGTGAGGGTGGCTGTTCATATTTTGTGGCGTGCCCAGGAACTTAGTTGTGTGATTATTTTGGTTGTGGTGATGACTTATGGCTTAGGATGTAATATAGTTGGATGTGTGCTCATTTTGGCGATGCATGCATGGCTGGCTGCTGCTTTTGTAATTAATCTAAACCTCCTAGAATGTATTTATGAAGATGGTATTTCGTGCTTGTAATATTATTGAAACATATGCTGGTTGTTACTTTTTATTATTGCTGGAATATATATTGTTGTTTGGGAAATGGGTGTCTTTCCACTATAGCTTTGAGGTATATGTGGCTGCAAACCAAAAATATGCCACAACATTTTACCAAATTTTTGTGGCAGAAATCCATACAGCAGCCACACTTATTTTGCCAAACCTTAGTCATAAACCAAACAACTTGTTTTTGCCACAGATTATGGCAAGCCACACATGTGGCTGGTGCCTAACATTAATCATGGCAAATTGTAGCTGGGAACCAAACATCCCCTATATCTTTTGGCGATACACTATAAAAAAATCTAAATCACCTTGAGGGCCAACAATTTTCTTAAGGCCAACAATTAAACCGCTAAGAATATACATAGTTATTTCTTCAGCGGTGTTAGTAAACCTCCGTAAAATGTAAATTTTTAGGGGTTAAGCGAACAAACCGACAAGTAATAACTGGATCTTTTCTTGTCGGTTTTACAGTGTCAAGAAAATCATTTTCTTGAGTGTTGACAGCTAAGGGCGAGGGGTTTCTTCTTGTCGGATATATGAAATTTTTTTGGCAGTTGACATCCAAGAAAATTACTATTATCTTAGCGATTAAGGGTGGTGACCACCAATAAACTGCTTACCTTTGCGCTTGAAACATTTCCTGGCTATCAAGGAAAGTTATTCCCTTGGTGGTTCAAACATCTTTTTTTGGCGCTTTGGTAAATTTGACGCCGTCCTAGTTTTGTTGGCGGCCTACCTCCAAGGAAAGAATCCTTGAGGACTAGAACCGCTGAGAAAAGAAATTTCCTATATCCTCTATATCATCATCGGTATAATTTGCTTGAGGGTTGCCAAGAGTATTTCCTTAGCAACTTTGGTATTTGTTTGTAGCACTCAATGCAAGATAATTCCATTTTGTGGTAGGCAATATGTACGAAAGGACTTTGGGCAACGTTCTCATATGCTCGAGCACGATGTTGGATCATTTTTCGTTACTAATAAACGTGCTGGTGCGTTGCACAGTACATAATATGTGTTGAAATTAGACTCTGTATTATTGCTCGACGTGGATTGTTCTAACTGGTATGACATGAGGGTGGATCATATAGAGAACACAGAGGATGCAAGTGTGATTTGGGAGGTAATAAACAAAATAAAAGAAGAAGAATTTAGGAAGTAGAGTGGTGAATTTCTGCATACATACTGAATGTTCTTTGAAACAATACGGAAGCTATTGCAGACATCCCTTGTATTGTATTTGCCGACAAACACTTTGGAAACTGGCACGGCTATGTTTGTTTCCTCTCCTAAACTTTAGTCCCTGTCATATCGGATGTTTGACACATGTATAGAGTATTAAATATAGACTAATTGTGAAATTAAATGCACAGATTGAGGTTAATTTGCGAGATAAATTTTTTAAATCTAATTAGTCCATAATTTGATAATATGATGCTACAGTAACCATGTGCTAAGGACGGATTAATTAGGCTTAATAAATTTGTCTAGTAGGTTACTGAGAGCTTCTGTAATTTGTTTTATTATTATTATCCGAACATTCGATATGATACCCCATGTAACACCCGACGTGACACCTCTAAACTTTAGTCCCTAGATTTTATTTTATTATTACTATCCAATCACTCGATGTGATACCCTGTGTAACCCCCAACGTGACACCCCTAGCACTTAGCCAAACAGGGCGTAACATTGGCCGCTACAGCCCTACAGCGGCGCTCCAAACTCAGACTACCCAGCATACATGGACGGATCCCAACATACGGGTCACGCACCAATCGTAGCACCAGGTTCCATGTTGGCGTCTTGGCGATCCCCCAAACACACCCGAAGCCATTATTTGCCGTCTGATTTGCCCATAAACAAACACACATGAAGCCGATCTGAATAGTCCGTCCCTATCGTACACATATGCTCGAGGTCTCTCTGTCCAAAAAAAAAAAAAGATATACTCCCACGTCTCGCAAAGAGTATCATTCTCGTTTTATGAAAAATCAAAAATATATTTTTTAACTTTGACCAAATATATAAAAAAATATTAAAATTTATGGTGTATAACTGATATGATTAGATTAATCGTTGGATAAATCTTCAAAATAAGTTTATTTGGAGATAGAAATTTTGCTATGATTGTGCTACCTCCGAAACATTATGATTGAGCCTATAGATCTCGAGATTGATAAGATCACCCTAAGCATCTTGTTGTCGATGGGCATATCGTCTATCACTAAAAGAACAATGCTGCTAAATTGTAGAATAAATCAAGAAAAATGTGAACATCTGAGTGAAGTTAAAAACTTGAACCTGGATGGACAGGTTCCATGGTAAACAAAATTTTTGTGTCAAAGAGAAACACCATATTTCTAGATAAATATTTTGTATAATAAATTACCCACGTCCTTTTTTTTCACCGTTGATTATAATGCCCTTCCGGTTGGATATTCACAAGAAGACGAACATGCATGGAATGAACAACTTAATAAAACTCTACTGGTTCTATAAAAGTGAACTGATTTATGTAAAGTTCTTACATGATTCTTGTGAGTATGTGAAACAACACGCATTTTATTTCGAGAGAATTATGTATTTGGTACTGAACAAATCAGTCTTTCTATTTGGCACTCAAAAATTTGAGCTTTCTTATCTAACACAAAGTTGAGATCTCTTTCCCTAAATAGCACTGCAGTCTATTTGGGATAGTAATGGTGCCAAGTGGCTGGTAAAATGATATAAATGCCCTTGTTTGTAGCAGAAGTACGTAGTGCCAAAGAGGAAAAAGAATAAATGGACAAAGGTTGTCAAATAAGTAAATCATAAATATCACAAATAAATAGGAAAAGAAACTATAACTTTTATTTTGGTCATTTCTCCATCCGAGATTGTTTGAAAAAATACGAATTTTAGTGCTTAATTTTTACTATTCGATGTCTACAAATCCAATTTATAGGGGCGGCCCCTACAAATCAAGCCATTTATAGGGGCGGCTGATAACACCAGCAGCCCCTACAAATCGTCTCGTTTCGGTAAGTCTGGGCGTTCGGTTAACCAAAACCGATCGGTTCGGTTCTTTGGTTCTTCAGCTAATTCGGTTACCTGAGAAGAAGGACCGATCGGTTACTTTAAAAATGCGGAACCGAGGAATTTCGGTTTCGGGTAATTCGGTTCGGTTTCGGTTCTAACCGATGGAATCGAATTTTTCAGGAACCAAGAAACAACCCATTCAGCATTTTGCTTGATTTTCATGCAGTCAAAAGGGATAATTTAAACAGCAATGCAGCATAAAACAACAGTACAATACATATATATTATTGTTCTCTCAAATATTCAGGTATAGGGCAATATTCAAGCCTGTATTCTAGGGGCCTTTACATAATTCGGTTATTTCACGTCAATTCGGTTAACCGAGTGCTGGAACCGAATTAACCGTAATAATTTCGGTTCATAGAACCTGGAACCGAACCTGGGACTGAATATTTTGGTTTCGGTTACTTCGGTTTCGGTTCCGGTTAGTTCGGTTCGGTTCTCGGTTCTCGATTTTTTGTGTCCAGATTGACGTTTGGGCACCATTTGTCAAAAAAAAAAAGGCTTTGCTACAAATATTTTTTTAAGTAGTGGCGAGCTCGACGCCTTTGCCCCAGCTGCGGCCGTGCATCCAGCAAGCTCGACCACGACGGCGGCGGCGTGAGGTCAACCTTGGCCCTGGCTGCTAGCGATGCGCTGTGCGTAGGCCGGAGGGAAGCAACCGACGCGAGACCACTGGCACGGCCGAGGCAAGGTCGCGGCTTTCAGCGTCAGCCACCTGCTGACGAGGAGCACGGCGGCCGGCATTGAGGGCACAGCGCAAGAGGGCCTGCCCACCGCCAGCCGACACCTCCTCCGCCCCTTGGTCCTCTCTTCCTGCGAGTTCCATCGATCTACATTTTTTTTTACGGAGAAAAAGACTCGTGCGTGAGTGCCGCGTCAGGGGATGGCATGGCGCCTGCGTTACTGCAGGTATTTTCGTCAACCTAAAAATAAACTAACATGATCAGCATAGTCAACTAATAGATGCCTGCAAATGGACGGCTATGCTATATAGGGAAAGAAATTTTAACTTTGTGTCAGATAAGAAAGTTCAAATTTTTCGGTGGCAAATGAGAAAGGACTAGTTTCTTTCGGTGGTAAATACATAATTCTTTCTTTAATTTTCTGTGCACACGCATTTAATCTGATTCCTACTCCAACATGCCAACAAGGAGGGTGTTCTGAATGTGTTTAAGCTAGAACAGGGAAGCAAACATGAGCATTGCAGTTTTACAGGTATCTGCTAATTTACCAAGCTGGAGCTGATTCCCGAGGGAGCAGCCTGCCGGTAAAGTAGAAAGAACCCATGACACAGATCACGGAACAGTGACGCGGGCGGAGACCTGAACGGACCCGAATCGGTCGGCTCCATGATGGGCCTTGCAGATTGGAAGCGGAAAGCGGAACGCCGGCCTGCCCCCGGTCGTCCGCAGAACTATAAAAGGCCATCTATGCGGACGCTAATTCCTCCACCTCCATTCTCCTTCGGCTCTCTAGCGGCGGAACAACATCTTCGAGCTCAGGTCCAAGGTGCGCAACCCTTTTTTTTTCTGCCTATCTCTACTACCAGTAGTCTCTCTAACTATTTCTAGTGCCGTACTGTTGGTGATCTTTATAGCGGTACTGTCAGTCAGTTGGATTACGGGAATATTGGTTGGAATTTGTGGCTCGTCTCCGAGGATTTGTTGGACGAATATTAACAATTGTTCATGGTTTTTCTTGCGGAAAAAATTGTTCATAATGAGAAGGATGGAGCATAGCCCATAAAATACGGGCCATATTAGATAGGAATTCATGTTACATATGTTCTTGGCATGGAATCAGGAAGCTTTATTTTTAGAATTATATTTTATACTCATACATAAAGGAATAACATGATAAACAATGACAAGTCCAAACTTCGATGTCTCTTGGCCGTTGCGACTTTAGATTTATCTTTTATTCTTCTTCTGCACCTATTTGAGTTGTTGACGCTTTTGGCTACTGCTATATATAGTAGCTTAAATAAAAGCAAGAAATGCATCTTCTGTTCGTTATTTGTGCTGCTGGAAATTCATGGCTGCATTTCCTTTTTCCAATAAGGGCCTGTTCGGTTAGGCCACGATGAGGTGATAAAGGTTATATAAATTAGTGAAACAATTCAGGTAGCAATCCCTAACAACCGAACGGGCCCTAAGTGTGCGCTAGCTTCTGTAACATTGCACTCTTCTTGGTTGGTTTAGCGTTGTCTCTTCCATTCCAATACAAAGTGTTCAGCTACATATTCCCTTTGTACAGAACTGAGTGAACCATGTAATATTTAACGATTGCTCAAGACTTTAAACTTCGTATGCATGCTAAGCATAGCGCGACACCTTGCTCTTCATATGAAAAAATGCATTTAGCAGTATATTTTTGTTCTTGCTTCTACATATTTTCAGTTAACAGGTTCTTGCTTCTATATGGAACTGTTGTGTAGCCTAAATAAAAGCTGGACTAAAACACTTTCTTTGTCTATAAAAATTGGTGATGTTTTTCTGCTTTTGTTATTCAGCATGGAGATCTTTATGAAGAGCCCCACCGGCAGGACAATCTGCCTCAGGGTTAACCCAACGGATACCTTATCCACAGTTAAGGCAAAGATTCAGGAACAACAACGCCTTGTCTATAATGGAGTGCAGCTTGACGACAATCTTACATTGGCTGATTATAACATACAACATATGTCCACGCTTGACCATCAAGAAAAGATGCAAATCTATATAAAAGAGACGCTGGTAGGCACGACCATCACTCTTGAGGTTGACAGCTTAGATACTATTGGCAACGTGAAGGCCAAGATTGCATATATACTGAGGGCTTTCCTATGGATCAACAATGCCTCATCTTTGCCAATAAACAGCTAGAGGACAATCATACCTTGGCGGACCATAACATTACGAAGCTGTGGCAGAACCGACTAATTTATAAGAGCACAAGTACAACGGCAACCACCGGGGTGGTCATACTGTTATACTTGAGCCCATATAAACTAAGTAGTCAATCGAGTGTCGCGAAGGACCTCGATTCATAACCAACATACAAACCAAGATCATACATGATTTAACATACATGTCACATGTTACATAAAGTTCACAAGTAGTTCAACATACATCGGAGTTCAAATATAATTATTACAACACGAAGTTCAAATTCCGTAGCGGAAGCAACATAGTTTTAAAACATCTCACACACACAATTTAGATACGTGCCAGTTCCATGATCAAGTCCAACAAAAGCAACCTAAACAAACTAATATAAAAGGACCGTGCCCACAGTCTCACTCCTCGTCCACCACTGGTGAGAAGTAGTTTTTGCAATAACCATGATATATAGAGCATCTGCAACAAGTGGGAATAAACCCTGAGTACAAGAAGGTACTCAGCTAGACTTACCCGTCATAAACCAAAAATAAAGTGATATCAAGGATTATGCAAGGCTTAATAAGTAGGTTTAGCTTGACATCATTTTGCATAAAAAGCCACTAGTTGAGCTACACATTTTATAATTCGATCATCAAGTTAATTATAGCTATTCAGCAACTAACCTGTGCCAAACATGTTGTATACAAATATGTAGTATCACATTAGTAACCAAAGCCATTTATTGTATCGTAATCATAACCATTTCACTTTCATCAACTTACTACGATAGAAGGAAGCTCAGTCAAGTTTCTCACTATCCAGGAAAGACGGCGATTCGAATCGATTGCAACCAGCTGGACAGAAATCCTAACACAAACCCAGACATACCTGTGCCAAGGTAGCCTTAGGTCACCTTTGGTACAACTCAGGTCGTATGTCACAGGTTCGATCAACGCCGCACACTCAGGAACTAACTGGCTGCTAGGACGATCATGCCCGGCCTATCCTTGGACTCACATCTAGCTCCCCGCACATCCTTACTACCTCCAGTGTGCGCACTCATACAGAACGAGGCTCGGCCTGAGTTGAGCTACTCAGCTTCGCGGTCGGAACGAGTTATCCGGCCAGCTAAGTGAGAGGTTGTGTTCAAAATGACCAAGGACCAACAACGATGCGGTCCTTAAGCGGCACAGACGGAATCACATGAGTCAACCTACAACATAGACTCTGTCCGATCTCCAATTACATTATCACATGGTTCTTTCCCACGATAGCAAATATAGCCAACTGTGACCAGGTATCCACCTATAGCTCGCAGGTGACAGGAAATCACTCGACTTCTACCAAACTAAGCATTTATTCGATCTTAGGCGTGCATAGGCTTTCAAGATATATTTCTGGACAAGGAGATCATATGCATAAGTGTTTCCAATCAATTCCTACAATCTAATGCATCAAACATAAAGAACTCAAGTTGGCATTTATAAAATATAGGAGACTTAGAATGCTCCGGGGCTTGCCTTTCAGATAGGCCGAGGGCTTCTGGTACGATCACTCAGGCAGTTCTTCTTGGACCTGTTCTTCGCCTTCTAGAACTTCCTGCTGCTGGGTCTCCTGCGGAGCGTCCTCTCCTTCGAGCTCGAACTCCAGCAATGTCACTCCCTCCACCGATCCTATATGTATGAGTATATAGATAAATATAGAGAATGCACAAGGGATGACATGAATGATAGGGTGCAATGCATGCATATATATACTCATTCTTAACAACAAGATGGCAATGTGATGACAAGATTAATTTTATTTTACTGAGTAGGTGCATATCTCTTCTCTAGCAAAGCAAACATACACTCACCATGTTCTAGCAACCTAAGATAAATTTGTTCATCATCAGTAAGAGGCCTAAAACCTGCAGCTAACAACTTACCTTAATTAGCCTAATCATTTAATTAACAAGCATCAAGCTCCTACAAAGCAACCAAGTCATAGAACTAGATGCAAGTGAATTATAGAACACTAATTAGCTAGCTGCATACAAACACTCATTTCAGGGCACAACTAAATGTACCAATAGGTTATACCCATCATCAACATGTTAAAAAGTGTAATGGTTGGACCCAATTCAATTTTATACAAGCCTTTATTAATTTATCAATTAATTCAGGTGAAAATTGGAACTGCTACTTACATTGCTCAATAAATTCTGGAAAATTTACTACAGCTCATACATGCTCTCAAGAGACTATTGTTAAAATTTCATGCCAATTGGACACGTACAACAACCTCTACACAAATGACAAGTTACATGGTTTATAGCAATTTAAATATGTTTAGCATGGTGAAAAGTGTCAAGCAACAGATTTACTATTTTTCCTATAGTCCTCATAACACCAGAATAATGTACAAATAATTTCATGTCCATATGTTACATAAATCTACCACAATTAATTCCACAAAAAGCTAGCATTTAATCAAGCTAAAACAAGAAGTCATATTCCAAGCACGCTTATTGTAGGTTTAATATTTTTTATAGCTACCGCATGTCAAAACAAGACCAACAAAATTAGAATCACAATTTTAGCATCTCCCTAACTCAAGTTATGCATTTTACAAGATTAATAGGGAATAAACAAGATAATTTAAACAAGTTACCAACTGTAGCACATACCAAGTTTCATATTTTTAACAGATAGTACTCATAAAGATGAAGCTAACAAAATTTGGTTCACTCCATTTGGACACTCTTAGCTCTAGATACGAATTTTACAAGTTTGCTACAAAATATGGAAAAACAATTAAAGAAAAACATCAAAAACCCTGTTAAAAGCTAAGCACACCCACTGCATTGCACCCAGAGGCGCTGATGGCTGGGTCCCACAGTCAGTGTGACCCCATGCATCATAAGCACAAAAGCAGGGGCGGCGTTGATCGGCGAAGAGCTCACCGACGACGAGGTCTCCGGTGACATGGTCACTACCACTCGCTTCGCCTCGTCATCCCACTTCCAGTGGTGTAGGTGGTTGAATCAATTACGCCCTCTAGCTAGGGCGGCGGCGCTCATGGTGGTTTGGTGGCGCTCTAGCCATCTTCGGCCATGGCAAGCTCGGACAAGCTCGGCTACGGCTTTAGGGTGACCTACCTGAGGTCTAGGGTTAGGGTTCCGGCTTGCGGTGGCGCCGGTGAGGAACGGCTGCGTGCATGGCGGTGGCGCGGCCGGTTCACGGCAGTGCGGCCTAGCTTTTAGCCTCCAACATAGCCGGGATTGGCCAAAGGATAACGGCTACAGCTAGCACTAACCCTAGTGACTATGGAATAGGGGAGAGAGAGCAGTGCAGGTGCGAGGCGGCTTGGCCACGGCGAGCTCAAGCTTGGCGGCAGCAATGGTGGTCATGGTGACGACGCACCGGGCTCACCTGGGCTCAAACGTTGGCATTGGCGGTTCCGTGGAATAGAAGGCGATGCGGCAGAGCTATGGGTGTGAGGAATTGAGCGGTGGTGCGGCGTGGGTGGCGGGCTAGGCCGACGAAAGCTCGACGGTAGCGCGGCATTGCTGTCTCCACTCGGTGCTATGCGAGAGCGAGTGAGACAGATGGAGAGTGAGAGTGAGCGAGAGGAGAGAACGCAGGCCACTTCCTTCAGTGCCACCCCCACCGTGGCGTGGGCCTGGCTCCAGTGTACGACAGCCATGCGGCAGCCACGGCCTGACGCGGTCGGCCACGACGACATCCAGATTTTGAATCGGCAAAGACCGAGTTCAGGCCTGACAAAGCCGACTGAAACCTGATTTTTGACCCCCTGGATCTCCCAAACCGTGGTGAGTTTTGATCAACCATTTTCATCATTGTGTAGAGCTACAAGAGTACTACAAGTTTTCTTAAAGAAGTTTTGTCTAATTCAAACTGGTTTGCAAACTAAAAATCACCAAAGGTGGGTACCTTGAAACTATAAAGCAGTTTTAGATAGAAAAATTTTGAGTTTCAAAACAGCATCAAGTTGAATTTTGGAAGCCCTATTTGACTAACTTAGGAACTGATTCAGCTCTTGACCTTTAAACAAAGTTTGTCCTACATGACATGAACTACAACTTTCATTTAGGGCCCACTGCCATGCAAGCACTCTAACTAATTAGTCAAGATGGGTCAAACAATCAACCTAATAAATGCAATTCTAGTAAAACTATCACTTAGAAGCATCTTTGGGCCTACTCATGAATGTAAGCTTGGTTCCATTTTTCATTCTAAGTATGTCTAAGTTGTTTTGGTGACCAAACAACACCCACTTGCATTAGCCAAGCATGACCATAAGGCATATACATGTATAAATTAAGTATCACGTGTGATAAACATAGAGTGAATGAAATAAAATTTCTTGTGCTCATGCTCATGAATGAATGGATGATGCTTATGGTCATGCAATGCAAGTAAAAAATGCAAGCTTAACAATGGGGTGTTACAGCCCCTCCCCCTTATAGGAATCTCGTCCCGAGATTGAAGTACCTACCATTTTTCATAAAATGCGGGGTAAACTTCACGTAGATAATCCTCTCTTTCCCATGTTGCATCCTGCTCAGTGTGGTTACTCCACATTACCTTGTGAAATCTAATCACTTGGTTCTGAGTTACTCTCTCCTTACTATCCAAAAGTTGTATGGGCTTCTCTCATAAGCTAGGTCTGATTCTATCTTGATATCCATAATTTCAACTCTTTCTTTAGGAATACGCAAGCACTTCCTCAGTTGAGAGACATGAAAGACATTAAAAATAGCTCTCATTTCTAGAGGTAGCTGTAGTTTGTAGGCTACTCTTCCACTTCTCTCAATAATTTTGTATGGACCCACATACCATGGTGCAAGCTTTCTTTTCACACCAAACCATTGCACTCCTTTCATTGGTGATACTTTCAGGTACACATACACGCCTACCTCAAACTCGATAGGTCATCTTCTTTTATCCGCATAGCTCTTTTGTCTATATTGAGTGGCTTCACTATGTTGTTGGATAATA